TTGAGGCCATCTGAGAGTCTTGGGTCCAGTGGAAAGTTCAGAGTGTCAACAGTGGCAGTATCTCCAGAGTGACTGAAGAGGGTGGGGGTGGGGGCGGCGAGTAAAATCAATGTCACGATCCTCCACTCTGCACCCATCCAGCCAATGGGGGCATGGTAGGGGCCAGCTCCTCCCTGCGCAGACGCCCCCTCCAGTTCCCAGGAGAGCCAGGAACTCCGAGTGTAGACAGGGATGCTGGTCACCCCTCACTGAAGACTTGTTCGTAGGCCCACATTCGGGGGACAGCGTGCCCCAGGTGGGGCCTGCAAACAGTCAGAGAACAGCTCACGGAGCTCCAGCCCAGAGCCTCCACAGTGTATAGAGCCTGTTGAGGCCACTCAGTTGGTAGAGAGGCAGTTCCAGACTGGGGCTGGGCGGGGTTGCTCTGAAAGATGGCCTTATGGCTCTAGGTGAAGAACACTTCCGGGAAAGATGGCTCTCCAAGGGGAGAGAGCACTTGGGTCTCACTTTGCATAGCACTAAGATGGCAATGTGACTATTCTGAGGAGCAGACTCCATTCTCCGGGAGAAGATGGCTGTTTTGTGAGTTAAGGGGCTTAACTAGAGAAGTTTTGGAACCTGAAGGGCCCCAAGAATGTTTTCCTCAGAGGCCACTGAGGGGCCCGTACGTACGTAGGAGACACTTGCTGAAACACTTTCCACAGGTCCTGTTGAAGCACCAGTTCTATCTAGGCCAGTGCTTCCCAAAGGGGGTGCTACTGCTTCCTGGGGTGCTGGAACGATCCAGGGGGCTGCAAATGCAGACACCTACACTTCATCCTGGATTATGGGCTGTAGTACAAAAAAGGGCGGGGTTGCTGAGTTTTTTTGTTTGTTTGCTTGTTTGGTTTCTGAAACGGAGGTGGTAGGGACTCTACGGCTCCTCAAGTAGGTGTGTTTTGCCACGACCCTCCCTGAGGGTGGAGGTGCAGCATTTATTGGAAATGAGCACTAACAACCCAGACCTGCCCATGTTCTTCTGTAGACATTTACCCATTAGCATACTGCAGTGGCATTGCTGAAGAGAAAGACGAGTGTTGAGTGGTTTTGCAACTGTCCCCAGTGGTTTCCTGACTTTAAGGCGGTGCTATTGTGTGTTCGTGTCTGTTTTCTTTCTTGGGAGAGGTGGTAGGAGTGGAGCTACTGAATTTGTGTCATTATCATCTATTTTAACTTGCAAATGCTAAGGGGAGGGACCTGAGCTCTCATGTTTGTCTTGTTTTTCTTTTTGATGCATATTTAGAGCTGGGTGAACCGTTAGTAGAGAACAACCATTCCAAGCGCATCTAGGTTTTTAGAAACAAAGCTAGCAGAGATTTTAGCAAACGAGAAGGAAAGGTATCAGTTACCTTTGCAGTGCTGAGGCTGAGTGATTTGAATTGGGTGCTTGGAGATACCCTGGATGTTCTGTTAATGATAAAGGGGAGCATGGCTTCAGTTGGAATGCCCACTCTTAAATCAATCTGTACTATTTAAGGGTACTTAAAAGGTGTCACATTTTATTAAACATGAACTAAATAAGTAATGGCAATGTATTATGCATAAGCATATGAATATTTAATATATTGTATAATCAGCAAAGTTGAGAACAATTCTTTCTTTTACAGTAATTACATACAGTCCTTCTTTTCTGAGTAACCTAAATTATGAACTCAGTTTAGGTCTTAAAAATTCCTACAGTGGCGCATGATGGGGACTCAATGCGCATCTCTAGACAACTGGACATAACTTGCAGAGGGGTAGTGGGGAGATGAGTCACTTAGGGCTCAGTATAGCAATAATGAAACCCACAACCTTCCTCTAGGTCTTAAACGCTTCCTCCCCCCAACTACCAGGACCCCAATTCTGCCTTGCAGACCTGGTTAGACCAGATGATGCACAGCGGTACAGATGG